GATAGGAGTTTTTCAGCTTCATTATAAACTAATGGGACACGTGACTATGCAAATGTGAAGTTAGACTTAAAATACTGTAAAATTGTTAAGTTTTCTGAATGTGATAATAAGTGTGGTTAGGTAACATTCTTAAGAAAAACACACTGAAGTATTAAGGGGTAAACGTTATGATGTACTCATTTAAGTAGCCTAGAAGAGGGTGTGAGTGGGGTGTGTGTGTAGAGTCAGAGAGTGTGCACCCACATGTAAATACAAATGTTAAAGCCTGTGGAGCAACATTTTAATGTTAGGTGGGTTATGGTAAAGGCTAGATGAGTGCTCTGTGCATTGTTCTTGTTCTTGCACCTTTTCTGTAGGTTTTAAATTATTTCCAAAGAATTGTTTTTTTTTAATCTATGTATTTATAATCTAGTTTAATAAAATTAGTTGAAACTTTCTGCGTATGCCTACTCTTCCCAAAGATAAACAAGTTCTGAATTCAGTGCTTTTTAGTCTCAGGCATGTCCTCATAAGTTGACTATATGTTTATATACAAGGTCTGTCTAGAAAAAGTCCAGCCATTGTTAATATAATGAGTGCATTTTGCGTAACATCAATGTAACCTGGCAGCCAAGGAGAGAGGACTGGAATGTGTGTGTGTGAACATTGATGACTTCACTGTACTAGACTGTGGGGGCAGTGTTGAGTGAGCATGTGTTCTGTGCAGCAGTGGCATTCAAAATGACTGAGCGAGTAGAGTAACTAATGTGCATCACATTTTGTGTTAAGCTTGAACATTCCTCCCCAGAAACTATTTAGATGATTCAGAAGGCTGCAGCTATGGGCAAATTGTGGTTGGCAGCTTCATCACGACAATGCATCTGCTCATGCATGCATCACATCTGGTGCAGTTTTTTGGCGAAACATTAAATCACCCAGGTGACTCAGCCCCAACCTACAAGCCATATTTAGCACCCTGCAACTTCTGGCTTTTCCCAAAACTAAAATCACCTTTGAAAGAGAAGAGATTTTAAGATCATTGATGAGATTCAGGAAAATATGTTCAAGCAATTGATGGCAATTGGCAGAACTGTATGAGGTCCCAAGGTGCCTACTTTGAAGGGGACATACATCATTGTCCTATATACAGTGTTTGTTGTGTCTTCTTCAATAAATGACGCTATTTTTCACATTACATGGCTGGGATACCTTCTGCACAGGCCTTGTATACCTAAGCAATAATATATAGTAGTGTTTCGTAGGGTTTTAAACAATACATAAATGTTATTCTACATAATCATTTTATGCCTTACTTTCCTAGAGTTATTTATGTTGATCTATGTAGCACTAACTCTCTTATTTTCACTGCTGTGCAGGTATCTCAGAAGTTTAAGTGATGTTTTAAACTATATTAAGTTCACAAATATAAATGCTGTGAACTTACTCCAAAATTTATATCACTTGAAAACTGTATTTAAATTTCTTGAATAATCATTGAGTTTTATAAATTTTGAATAATAAATTTCTAGTTTTAATTTTTGTTTCAGTCAGCATTTGCTATCTTCATTCAGAGGAAGTATAATTTTATAATACGATTTTGGCATAATTTAGTCATTCATTTTCAAGTTTAGGGTGTGTCCACTTTTTTATTTCAGATACTGTTACAATGTACCTTTTTATACTTACCCGTATTTTTGGACCATAAGACACACCTAGGTTTTAGAGGAGGAAAATAGGAAAAAAATTTTTTTGAAGCAAAAAGTGTGGTAAAATATTGAATAACACAAATAACATAATATTTTGCCAATGTAAATGTAAACAGAACTCAATAGCAGCATTAACAACCATTATTCCTCCCAAATGGGGGCATATCTTATAGTCTCAAAAATATGGCAAGTACAGATGAAAGAATTTCAGTGATAAATAGCTAATAATGGAATTAACTGGAATTACTGTGATAACTAGATCATAGGGTATGTGCATCTTTATTTATTATTCTTCATTGCAGTATGTATGTAGTTTCTTTTCCTTACCCATCCTCATAAAAACTTAGAATTATCAGCCTTTAAGCTATTTTGATAGGTTTAAAGTCATATCTCAAGAATTTATTGGGTTGAATTTTTCTAATTACTAGAGGTGTTGGAGCATCTTTTCTTATGTTTATCAGCCATTTTATTATCCCGTTCTGTAAATTAAGTTCCTACTATATTTCACACTTGAACAACATGCGAGTTAGGGGCACCAACCCCCCCCCCCCCCCCAGCAGTCAGAAATTCTTGTATAACTTTTGGCTCCTTCCAAACTTAGCTACTGTTAGTCTACTGTTGACTGGAAACATTAATCATGACATGAACAGTGGATTAACACAGTTTGTATATGTATTATGTACTGTAGTCTTATAATAAATAAGCTAGAGGAAAAATGTTATTAAGGAAATCACGAGGGCCTTGACTGGCATGGCTGGCTCAGTTGGTTGTGCGTCATCCCATGAAGCGAAAGGTTCCTGGTTCTGTCTCCATCAGGACACGTGCCTGGGTTGCGGACCCAGTCCCTGTTGGGGCACGTATGAGAGGCAGTGGGTGATGTTTCTCACACACGTTGATGCTTGTCTTCCTCTCTTTCTCCCTTCCTTCTCCTCTTTGTAAAAATAAATAAAATATTTTTAAAGTCATAAGGAAGAGAAAGTACATTGAGTACTTATTAAAAAAAACAAAACCAAAAACCTAAGCACAAGTGGATCCACACGGTTCAAACCAATGTTATTCAAGGTTCAACTATATTCTTTTTTGATTTTTCCTATTGATTTTAGTAGGGAGTTAAAAATTGTATTTTACACACTTATTTTACATTTATATACATCCTAGATCATTTCTTTCAGTCTGATACTTGTCTTCATTTTTAATGTCCTTTTTGACAAATTTTATTTAAATTAATTAATCAGTCCTTTCATTTATGATTTATATATTTTATACTTTCCCTATCTACATTTTTTAAGGTATTCTCTGACATCTTTTAATGGAAATTTTACCATCTTTCAATAATGACTTATGTCACCATTCAGGGACATTGTCAGTTCAGTGAGTGCCTACTGTCCAGCAGATGTGCTTGGCAGGGGGAGGTAAATCAGTGTAGAAGGCCCCATGCTGTCTTTGAGGAATTCTTGTCTTAATGAAGGGGACATCAGGCAGAAAGAGCCTGAGCAAAAGTAGCAGAGATATCAAACTGAAGGTGTCTGAGAGCTAGATTGGATCCACGCTGATCACACAGGTGTGGGAGGGGACACTGGGATTGGAACGATGGGAGTGGGACCATGAAGGCTTTTGGCCTGGAGCTCAGACTTAGTCGTGTGGTTTAGGTGTTTCCAAACATTTTTAGCATTAGAACCCTAACTAACCTCAAAGGAACCAAATGGTAACAACCACGATAATTAGAATAACCATAACATCAGCCAGTATATCTTGATTATTTATCATGGTACTGTGCTGAGAACTCCAAGCATTATCCTGTTAATTTTTGATAGCAACTTTATAGGATAGGTTTTAATATTCTCCTCATTTTACCAACTGAGTCTCAGAGAGATTGCTATATTAAACAAGTTGAAGCAGAGCCTCTGTTACTAAATTACTTCTGCGAAACAAAATGCATTTAGAAATCACTATCCCAGAGTATTGGAAAATATTGAAGGATTTGGGGCATGAAAATGACGAGCAGATTTATATTTTATGTTCGTGTTCTGGAAAGTATCTGCAGGATAGATTTGAAATTACTAAGGACTGGATTAGGGAAACCAGTTATGAAATTCTTACATTTGCTTAAATGAGAGAAAATTAAAAACCTGAACTGTAAGTTCAGATATATCTTGTAAGGTAAATTAGAAATAAGAAAAGACTATAGCAACTAATAATGGGCCAAGAGGAAATTTGCACATGCCATGTTGGTTAAAGGAAATACAGGAAGTATTTTACTTTGAGAAAGCTAGCTAATGGAGACTATTTAGTGTAGTCGGTTCATGTAATTAAGGTTTAGCAAATATAAAATTGATGCAGCAGATGATGCAGTAATAAAAGAGAAAATAAGAAATGATGTACTTAACCTCAATTTGATAAGTATGTGTGCTGTATTTTCTAGAGTTGCCACTAAAAGATGAAGTAAGTAAAGGAGCACAGCTTATAAATTCCACACTGGTAGAGGAGATAAAAGAAGAGCTAAGATAAATATGTAGAAATCATAAAGGCAAACAGAAGTAGACGAATAAAAGTATAAAATAATATATGTATATAATTACAATGAGTGTAGGTTGAGTAAGTGATCTAGTTAACAAGATTGTCAGACTGGGCTTTTTAAAAATGTCAACTATATGCTGTTTACAAGAAGTAGAAAAAAGGTTGAAATTAAAATATGGAAAAGGAGCCCCGGCTGGTGTAGCTCAGTGGATTGAGCGCAGGTCTGCGAACCAGAGGATCGCGGTTCAATTCCCAGTCAGGGCACATGCCTGGGTTGCAGGCCAGTTCCCTGAAGAGGACACACCAGAGGCAATCATACATTGATGTTTCTTTCCCTCTCTCCTTCCCCTCTAAAGATAAATAAAATCTTTTAAAAATATATGGCAAAGGATATACTACACCAGGAAAATTTCAACAGCAAAGCTGGTATGGTTATATTAATGTCAGAAAAAAAGAACTTTAAAAAGGAAAAAAGTTATTAGAGCAATGGCAGCATCTAAAATAGGAATTTAAGAAAAGGCCCTGGAGATTTAGTTGAGAAGAAGGTAATAGTATGTTTCTAAACAACCAGTAAGTTCAGTCAGTGGTAAGTGGACGTGAAATATAAAGACAAAACTGAAAGTTTGGAAAAACAAGTACCTATAGGTTGTATGGAATTTATAGTTTAACCAAATATTTTTCTTCAGGGACTTAAAAAATATCGGCTCTTTCATTCCATGTCATTCTAAGTCTATGTTTGATGGCAACACATGTAAAAATTAAATTCATTTGCTAAGTATTTGCTCTCGTGTTTTTCAGGAATTCAAAATGTCCTCAGCCTCTTCTGTGCAGTGCTCACAGAAAACAAGGTTCTCTTCCATTCCGCAAGTTTCCAGAGACTTAGCGATGCTTGTAGAGCCCTGGAATCTCTAATGTTTCCTCTTAAATACAGGTGAGATTTTTACTTGTACTTTTATTTATTCCTGAATTATGTATTAATTATTAACAATCAGTCAAAATGCCATTGCACAATAATGGTTTGAACCCCAAGGTCATATTTTACAAAGTTAGAATTCTGATAGAACTCTAGCCTAGAATTTGGAACTTTTCCAAGCCATCCATTACTGAGTGCTGATTAATTTACTGAAAAATTGATTAAGGATAGTATTGTCAGTAGCATTTAATTCTCTTTGGATATGGTTGGTGATAACATTAAGTTAGTGCTGTGATTTTTAATATTAAAGAATTATTAATTTTAGGGGATATATTAGTGTTATGGGTCTCTTAAAAAAGAGCCCTTATCTTTTTTAGATACTTATTAAAGTATTTGGTACAAATAATAGAATGTCCAAAATTTGCTTCAAATAGTGCAGTGGGGGAGAGAACACAGGGCAGCAGTGTACGCGTGTTACACATCGGTGGTGGTCAGATCCGGATCGGACACGGGGGCTGCGTGTGCCGGTCTGGTTTCCTGGGCTTTGAGGGGTATGCGAAAGTTTTTCCATGATAAAAAGTAAAAAAACTGGACAGTTTAAGCAGTGATGCCTGGTAGTGCTATAAGTAGAATATTTCATTCTAATACATGGTTTTATCAATTTGATAATCATAACACCTAGGAAACTTAACTTATACAAACCAGAACAAAATTTAGACTGTCTGTAGATTTTATTTTATTTTAAAAGTTTAAAAGATTTTTATGTATGTGCTTTTCTTAACCCATAGATATGTCTAGACCTTAAATTTTGTACTTACTTTACCACTCTTACTGAATGAAAAAATCAGTTATAGAAAAATGCAATTTGAGTATGTGTTTTACGCAAATGAATCGTGTCGATGGGGAGGGCCCATCAGGGAGCCAGTGTTATTGTCTGATGTCGCGTTGTTGTGTAAGGAAACTGCTTTCAAGGAAGATTAAAAAACCCAAGGAGACTGCTTGCCTAGGAGGGGTCAGGGATAAAGAAAGCTGCCCAGGATTCCATTTATTTTATTTTTTTCCTTTTTATTGAATTTATTGGGGTGCTACTGGGCATTCTATTTATTTTACATTTCATTATATCTGATCATATCTTTTACCTGAAGCTTTAAAAAAATCTGTCCTTTTGAAAATTAAATATTAATAACCATGAAAATATTATCGATGATTTCTGAACTTAGGTAATACAAAAAATTTACAGTATGTAGATGAAAATATGTTTAGACTATGGAAAAACAAATATATCTCACATATATATTTATTATTTCTAGCTATCCTTATATTCCCATTCTCCCGGCTCAACTACTAGAAGTTCTAAGTTCTCCAACACCTTTCATTATTGGAGTACACTCTATCTTTAAAACTGATATCCATGAACTTGTAAGTATCATCTTTAAATTGCCAGTTATTAAGGCCAGAGGTTTATCATATTACTTTTGAGTTTTACAAGATTTCAACTACCATATTTTTCGGACTGTAAGATGCCCCCTCCCCACCTTGGGAGGAAATGGTGTGTGTCCTGTAGTCCGAATGTCGCGTGCCTGCCTCGCTGTGTGTGGGGCAGGGGCGGAGCGGGGTCACAGGAGGCCGCAGCAGGGCCACGGCTACATTTTCCTCCCAAATGGGAGAGGGGTGCATCTTATAGTCCGAAAAATATGGTGCTGTTTTCAGCTCCATTGCATTCCCCGTTGAAACGATTGGCTGGCAGAAAATCATCATTGAAAAATCTAAATACAGTAATTTTTCCTATAGCAAATGTCAGAGATTTACAAAACGAATTTATTAATATTTTAAAATACCCCCTAAATTTATCTTTCTGTATTCTTCATCCTGTCTATGGGAAAGGAAGATAAAATAATGTTAGGTAGTATTCTATTTATACATTTGTTATAAGTACTTTAATTTATTCATATTTTGAAATGAGGCCTGTGTTAATGCTGAATGGTTGTTAACTAAAAGGCAAAAATCACTTTCAGAAAAGGGAAGGGTTTTAGTGGAATGCAAGTTCAGTATGAGCCCCAACAAATTATTCTATTTCTCATGCTATCTGAGTAAAAATCCCAAAGAAGGAAAGTAATGCTCCACACACATGCCCGTTCTGCAATAATGCGTTTGGTTCTCTGTTCTGCACTTTAAGAGAGACTGTAAGAAAATAATGTGCTTCAGAGAAGGGTATCCAGGATCCTCAAGATTTTAGAAACTATATCCTGTGAGGTTGTAAGGAAATTTTCTTAAGTACCAACCTGATATTATTTGATAACTAAATATAAATATTCAAGTGGCTGTCATAAGAAATGAGGATAAGATTTTTTTTTGTAGCTCTAAAAGGCCAAAATAGAATAAGTGGGTATAGTGAATGTAGAAACAAACGTTTGCTCAATATGAGAGTTTTCAGCCATTAGAGCTGCCCAGTAATGCCGAACAGTTTTCTCAATGAGGGAGGGGTTTTCACAAGCACTGTGAGTAGAGTGTAAGGGACAGATTGCAGGACGCTTTTCAGGAAGTTTAAAAATACTTCTTTCCTGAAAAGTTGCGCTATCTGCTGCCTGTGATCCACAGATCTTTAAGATTTTGTATTTCTACTTTTGTTTTAGTTTTAAATGCCAGAAAAGAGATAAGCTCTATTGGTACTTATACATAATCACAGTTAGAATCAAATCATAGGTGTCATTTAAACTGACAAAAGACTATTCAACATTGTAATTATAAACAGGACCCTTATTCATACATTAATCATTCTACCTAATTTTCTTTGTTGATATCTAGTTTTTAACTTTGATATCACTGTATAAAAATATGTGTAAATCAATATAAAAATATTCAGTAAAACCTAATTAGTATAATACTAATTAGAAACATACTAATCTGGTTTGCAGGAATTTTTTTCTAGTAAATTTTTTCCCCTGGAGCTTGAAGTGTTGCCAAAGTAAATTTCTTAATTTTTTGTGAATAAATTAGAATGAATTTTAATCCTGTTTTCAACATAATAACTTCAGCAATCTTGGCTAGTTTTCTTACTTTTTTGTTTTTTTACTCTTTTATGTAAGTTATTTGTAAATTGTTATAAAATGCTAAAAATCAGTTTTTTGAGCACCTAAACAGCACCATTTAGGTGTATACTGATTGCTTTGTGTATTAACTCATGTAATGATTACTGGGTCATTTAGATGATGGCTACACTACTATAGTGAAGCATCCAAAGTGTAGTGGCCAAAACAAATGGAGTTTTATTTAACACTCGTGCAGCATCTATAAAGGTGTTCCATTTGCCAGCCCAGTGTAGTCCAGGAACTCATTAAAAGCCCAAGCTTCTTTCCCACCAGAAACCCCTCAGGCATTGTCATCATCTGAGTATTCAAGGTTGGGTGGCTGCCAGTTCATAGTTTCAGCCGTGAATGGGGAGAGAGAGCCTTACATCTCCTCTCTTTTGAGTTCTGGAAGTGTACACATTACTTTCCACATTCCATTAGCAGAAACTTAATACCACACCTAATTTCAAAGGAAGCTGAGAAATAGAACAGTCCCTCCATATCCATAGGAGATACATTAAAAGGCCCAAGGTAGATGCTTGCAACCAGATAGTTTTCAACCTTATACATACTACGTTTATTCCTATATACACGTAGCTCTTCACTTAAAGGAAGCACTTTAGAGCTTCTCTGGCATATCTGAATTGCTAGCATCACCACTCTGGCACTTTGGGATCATGATTAGGTAGAACAAGGGTGATGTGAAAACAAGCACTGCAATACTGCAGCAGTCTAGATACCGCATGGCTCCCAAGTGACAAACAGGCGGGTAGCATATGCAGTGTGGATAACGCCTGAGCAGGAGAGCGTGGGGCAACCCAAGATTGTATCACACAGCTCCTAATGGCTTACAATTTAAAACTTACGAATTGCTTATTTCTGCAATTTTCCATTCAGTATTTTTAGACCAGTTGACCGAGGATAACCGAGACCCAGGAAAGCAGAATCACGGAGAATGGGGGACTCTATAGACAGTAGCTGGGAAGCCACACACCCAGCATTCTAGCACTGTGGACGGCAGGCATCTCTTCCACGGCTCTTTCTTCTCACTTTGAATTAACGAAGGCTAAATTAATTCGCTTAACAACAAATACATTTTGTTAATTATATTAATTTTTATCTCCTTCAGTTAGATGTAATCATAGCAGATTTGGATGGAGGCACTATTAAAATTCCTGAATGTATTCACCTCTCTTCCCTCCCGGAACCACTTCTACATCAGACTCAAGCAGCTCTTTCTTTGGTATGCCATTTTGTAAAATAGTAGTTTTCTCTTGATTTAAAATATCTAAGATGATTAGAATTACATATCATTAACATTGTAATTACTATTTTAAAAAAGGTCTTAAAACATGAATATAGTCTTATGTAGTATTTAGCAGTCTTTACTAAACATCATCTAAAGAATATACTTTGAATCCTGAATGTATAACTGAGTATTTGTTATACATTCGTTCTTTCCCTCAGCATATTTATTGAATATTCAATATCCAGGATACTGATGTTGTCCTATTTCGTATATTGGAAACACACCAGTGAAAACAAGACTAGACTCTGCCTCAAAATCACTGATGGCCCTAAGCCCCCCATTAAAAGCTAGCACTTGTTCCTTCTCCTTCAACCTCCTGTTGACATCTCATTCCTCTTTGATAGATGTGTTACTCACAAAACAGTGTGATGTTGTTTCACCAATGTTTTCAAGTTACTACAGGAAAATGTAACTTATAGATAGATTAAATGTCCAGCATTCTGTGTAGGAAAGTTTTAAGAAATCATGTGCTCTGGATGTTTCTCAGTGAAATGGATTTAAATTTTTTGTAGTTATTTTACCTTATTTGATTTCTAAACTATCAGTACAATTGTACTGATAATGTTTTAGGTGCCCATTTATCCATCATCAGAAAATTGAAACTTAGAAATTCTGCATTTGAAGCCATGACTAGAACTAAGGCCTTCATATTCTTGAATAATATTGTAGGCTGAGCTATTTTTTAAAAATGTCTTTTCCTTAAATAGGAACTCAGAAGTCTAGGCTTTCCAGGATGGATTTTTTAAAATATTTTATTTATTTTTAGAGAGAGGGGAAGGGAAGGAGAAAGAATGGGAGAGAAATATCAGTGTGTGGTTGCCTCTCATGTGTCCCTTACTGGGGACCTGGCCTGCAACCCAGGCATGTGCCCTGACTGGGAATCGAACCAGCAACCCTTTGCTTCACAGGCCCGTGCTCGATCCACTGAGCTACACCAGCCAGGGCAGATTTTATTCTTAAAAAATTTCAAATTTATATCAGTGTTTAAGTTGTTACAGTGGTATCTATATGATGGGAACATTCAGAGACAACTGATATTTTTTTCTAATGTAATTTGTAATTAAATAATTGCATTGGTGGTATATGGATATAACAAAAGTTGAGAAGGTAGTATTTGAGTGACTGAAAAGAGTTTAATGTTCTAGAACCCTTAAATAAGTTTTAAGATCTTACATATGACTACTTAATATTGATATTTATAATTATTCTGGGATTAAGGAGAAAACAAAGATTAAGAATTTAGCTGTTAAGTCAGTGGTTCTTGGTAGAGGTTCTGCTGCATGCTGGTAAATCTTCACCTGCAATACCTGTGCCACCCAGTTTAATCAATAAGTGGAATTAATTTGGGGGAAAACGGAGTATGCCAGTTTTCATAGCTGTCAAGCACAGTGGTGCATTGTGTGCTTCAGTGTAGTACTGTAAACACAATGTAAAAGCACAGTATATTGTCAGACAGGACCAAAAAGAAATTATATTTGATGGACTGTGTGGGAGCTTTGATAGACGAGTATATAAGCTTCAGTTGCTTACTAATAATTGTAATCAAATGGCAGTGCAGTAGTTGAACTGTGTAATGACCATGGATGATTTTATAGACATTAAGACATTATTCTGTAGTAGTGATTGGGTGATTGGATTATAAATAGTGTCTTATTTTAGTGTCATTTTAAAATATGGTTTTGAGTCTTCTGGTCTGTTTTGAGTATACTACCAGAACCTGACTATTTGAAAATGATTCTGCAGGAAAAAAAATTGCTGCACACTAAAAAAAAGAAAAATTCTTATGTACTTTTTCTCACCTGCTCCCCAGCCTGCTTTCCTTCAAAGCCCAACTCAAACGTTACCTTCTTTTGGTAGCTTTGCCTAAGTTGAATTAATAATACTTTATATTTCACATATGTTCTTTATATATTTATAGTACTTGTTTCATTGTAGTGTACATTTACTCATATGGACTGTGAAGTTTATAAGCTTATCACCTTTCTCCTCAATAGATAGTTCACTTTTCATTATACTAGGAACATTAAAAATAAATGCTTGTTTAAAATTTTCTACTATATAGACAAATAGCTGTGCCCTAGACCATTCCTTTCCCAGCGGTAACTACTATTTTATAGCTTAGTGTATCTTCTTTCAGAACTTGACATTTTTATTTGTGTGTATAGCGGTGCATGTACATATATACATTTAAGACTTATTTTCAAATAAATGAGACTATGGTATACATATTTTTCATTAAATATTTTGTCTTGGAGATCTTTTCACAGTGGTGTGTATATATACAGAGCTGCCTCAGCTAACAGCATTGTAGCTCATGGAGAAAATATATTGTAATTCATGTATTGACACTTTTTCATCTAACGCTTCATGTACAATAAATCGTAGGCTTTATCAACATAAAGACCTTATATATAACAAAACTTCTTTGTTTTAGATTCTACACCCAGATTTGGAAGTAGCAGATCATGCTTTTCCCCCTCCACGAACAGCTCTATCCCACTCAAAAATGCTGGTAAGAAGTTTAAGGTTTAAATTTTATACTTTTAAAGAGGACTGTACTTTTATTTGTATAGTTGTTAAAGATACTGGATTAGATGGACTGCCTAGTAAAAATAATGATAGTTAGGTGCACAGCTTAGTAACAAGTGGACCAAACTAGAAATTAAGAGAATTGCCACCTGCTCACCTTGTGGCTTACTCAAGGAGGAGCCACAGGGCAGCACACTGACCCAGTAGGGAGAAAGGCTAAGACTTATCCCAAGGAGGCATGAGTAAGCAGGGCACAAAAAAATCAGAACCTAGGTTGTAGCCTGGAAAATTGTGCTGAATGGCAAATCAAAAGGGCCAGGCAGGGATTAAAAACCAAAAAAAAAGAAAAAAGAAAGGAGGGGGGACTAGCTTACAAAAGATGGAAACAGATTGTTGATAACAGGAGAGAATCAAATTTGAGGAGTGAGCAGATGAAAACAGTTCCAATTAGAAGCCATAAAAGGGTGAGTATATAACAAAGATCCCTTTTTTTATTTTGCTCAGTGCATTTTTTTATATATTAAATTGCTTTTTAAAAATTTTTGTTCAGTTATAGTTGTCCCCATTTTTCCCCCATTACTCTATCCTATGCTACCTACCCCCGCCTCTCATATTCAGTCCTCCCCCCAACATTGTCTTTGTCCATGGGTTTTTATACATGTTCCTTGACACCCTTCCATTCTTTCCCCTGTTATCAGTGCATTTCTTATAGATGAACTTTCTCACCAATTAGGAGCTTCATAGAGCTGGGTTCCTTTAACAACTTCCTTAAACATTCTTGATTCTTCCCTTTATAATTAAATAAAGGACATTCTTGATTCTTCCCTTTATAATTAAATAAAGGATTGCCTAAGTCTGTGTGTTTTTTTTATAGTTCTAAAACTGTGATTTCATTGAAACCTGAATTATTAAAACGAGTTTGCCATACCTTATTAATATAAGAAAAGATTTTTATAAGTTGGGTAAATTTTAGAAAAATTTTATAGACTTTAAAAATAGTCTTTTGATGGTATGTAGTGCCAGCCAAGATGGAGGCATAGGTAGATATTTTTTTCACTTCCTTCCACAACCAAAAGAAGGATAACAACCAATTTAAAAACAATAATAAAAATCAGACTGCCAGAAGATTGAGCTGTATGGAAGTCCAACAGCCAAGGAGTTAAAGAAGAAACATTCATCCAGACCTAGTAGGAGGGGTGGAGACAGGAAGTCTGGGAGGAGAGGATGTGTGGCAATGTGGTGGCTGGTGAACTGGGCAGTCACACATTCGAATGCGGATAAACTGGGAGGAGCAAGTGGGGAGTGAGACAGACCGTGCAACCCAGGGTTCCAGTGTGGGGAAAATAAAGCCTCCTCAAAACCTCTGGCAGTAAAATTCTGTGGGGGTTTTGACAATGGGAAAAACTGCCAGCCTCACAGGAGAGTCCACTGGAGAGGCCGACAGGATCCTAGAATGTACACAAGCCCACACACCCAGGAATCAGCAACAGAAGAGCACAATTCACTTGAGGGTAGCAGGGGAAGTGACTAAAAGTGGGGTGAGAGCTGAGCAAGTGGCATTGTTTCCTCTCTGACCCTTCCCCCACGTACAGCGTCACAACGTAGTGAAGTGACTGGTCCTGGTGAATACCTACGGCTCTGCCCCTCCAATGTAAAGGTATGCCTACATGAAGAAATATGGCCCAAATGAAAGAACAGATCAAACTCCAGAAAAATATCTAGGCAATTAGGAGTCAGCCATCTTATCAGATGCTCAGGGAAATGCTTTAATATGAATGCAAAATAAAGGAGGAAGTAAAGACTATGCAAAGTGAAATAAGGAAAATATACAGGGAACCAACAGTGCAGGGAAGGAAACCAGGACTCAAATCAGTGGTTTGGAACAAAAGGAAGAAATAAATATTCAACCAGAATGGAGTGAAAAACCAAGAATTAAAAAAAAAAAAAAAATAGGCGTCTGCCACGGGCTGCAAACTAAGAAGCGAGGCTTTTCGTCGGCTCCTTCTGAAAGCCAAAGCCCGGAAAGCGGGCCAAGGGTGGCTGGTAGTCCACGGCGGTTAATTCCTTTTACCTTGTGGTGTTGCTTCCTTCGGTCTAGGCTTCTCTGGGACTGTGAGAGATGGTTAGGTCCGGATCTCGACCGGGCCAGAATGAACCACTGGAAGGCAGGATGGCTGCTGAGGTAACTGGACTGGGGTGGAAGTGGATAAGCCATGACTAGAATGTGGAGTTGCCTGAGAGTCTAAAAGATGGAGGCGTAGGTGGAAGCATTGTACCTTCTCGCACAACCAAGTTGAAAAACAACAAAGTTTTAGCAACAAAAACGCAGCCAAACCACAGAAAATTAAACTACACGGAAGTTTGACAATAATGAACCCTTCAGCCAAACCAGTAAGACGGGCAGAGCCAGCGGCAGAGCAGGGTCGGGCAGGAAAGATCCACCTGACCGACCTGGCACACAATCCAGGTATGCCGTGGGTGGATTCCAGGTGTGGAGAATGGGCAGACCCACTGAGAGCACAAGGCGGTGGACCCACTGAGGACTGATCGAGTTCGCACATTTGTGCACAGATAAACTGGTGAAGGAGCGAGCAGGGAGACGGACCATGCAGACCCCAGCAGCAGAAGCAGCAGAGGGGACCACCATTGTCCCTCTCTGACCCCGCCCCCACAAGCAGCATCACAAACCAGCGACCTGGGTGGCCCCACCCTGGTGAACAACTAAGGTTCCGCTCCTCATACATAACAGGCACGAACAGATCAAAACATGGCTCAAGAACAACTCAGAGCCCCAGAGCCGATAAATCTAAGCAATGAAGAAATAGCCAATCTTTCAGATGCACAGTTCAAAACACTGGTGATCAGGATGATCACAGAACTGGTTGATTTTAGTCACAAATTAGAGGAACATATGAAGGCTAAACTAATTGAAATGAATGGAAATGCACGGGAAACCAATAGTAATGGAAAGGAAACTGGGACTCAAATCAAAGGAATGGACCAGAAGGAGGAAAAAAATGACCAAACAGAAAAGAATGAAGAAACAAGAATTCAAAAAAAATGAGGAGAGGCTTAGGAACCTTCAGAACATCTTTAAACGTTCCAACATCCGAATTATAGGGGTACCAGAAGGGGAAGAGGAACAGCCACCAGTGGAAAACTTATTTGAACAAATAATAAAGGAGAACTTCCCCAATCTGGCAAAGGAAATAGTCTTCCAGGAAGTCCAGGAAGCTCAAAGAGTCCCAAAGAAGTTGGACCCAAGAAAAACACACCAAGGCACATCATAATTACATTAACCAAGATTAAAATGAAGGAGAGAATCCTAGAAGCAGCAAGAGATAAGGGGACAGTCACCTACAAAGGAGTTCCCATCAGACTGTCAGCTGATTTCTCAAAAGAAACCTACAGGCAAGAAGAGGCTGGAAAGAAGTATTCCAAGTCATGAAAGCCAAAGACCTACATCCAAGATTGCTCTATCCAGCAAAGCTTTCATTTAGAATGGAAGGGCAGATAAAATGCTTCTCAGATAAGATCAAATTCAAGGAGTTCATCATCACCAAGCCATTATTATATGAAATGTTAAAGGGACTTACCTAAGAAAAAGAAGATCAAAAAGATGAACAGTGAAAGGACAGCAAACCCACAGTTATTAAGAACCACACCTAAAACAAAAGCCAACTAAGAGGACAGCTAGATCAGGAGCAGAACCATAGAAATTAAGATCACATGGAGGGTTAGCAACAAGGGAGTGGGAGAAGGAGAAGGGGGGAGAAGGTACAGAAAATAAGTAGCATAGATGGTAGGTATAAAATAGATAGTGGGGAGGGCAAGAATAGTAGGGAGAATATAGAATCTAAAGAACTTGAGACACATGGGAATAAACTAAAGGGGGGGAATGGGGGGGAGGTGGTGTGCAGGGTAGAGGAGAATGAAAGGGGAAATAGAACCACTGTAATGGCATAATTAATAACATATATTGAAAAAATAGAGGAGAGGCTTAGGAACCTCTGAGACAACTTTAAAAGTTCCAACATCCGAATCATAGGGATGCCAGAAGGAGAAGAGGAAGAGCAAGAAATTGAAAACTTATTTGAACAAGTAATGAAAGAAACCTTCTCGAGTCTAGCTAAGGAAATAGACATGGAAGTCCAGGAAGCTCAGAGAGTCCCAAACTAGTTGAACCCAAAGAGGAACACACCTAGTCACATCATAATTACATTACTCAAGGTTAAAGATAAGGAGAGAATCTTAAAAGCAGCAAGAGAAGGGGACAGTCACCTACAAAGGAGTTCCCATCAGACTGTCAGCTGGTTTTTCAAAAGAAACTTTACAGGCAAGAAGGGGCTGGGAAGAAGTATTCAGAGTCACGAATGGCAAGGACCTACATCCAAGATTGCTCTATCCAGCAAAGCTTTCATTTAGAATGGATGGACAGATAAAGTGCTTTCCAGATAAGGTCAAGTTCAAGGAGTTCATCGTCACCGAGCCCTTACTATATAAAATGTTAAAGGGACTTATCTAAGAAAAAGAAGATGATCAAAACTATGAACAGTAAAATGACAAGAAACTCACAACTATCAACAACTGAACTTAAAAACAAAACTAAGCAAACAACTAGAACAGGAACAGAGTCACAGAAATGGAGGACACATAGAGGCTTATCAGCGTGGTGGGGGAGAATGGGGAGAAAGGTACAGAGACTAAGAAGCATAAATGGTAGATACAAAATAGACAGGGGGCAGTTAAGAATAGTATAGGAAATGGAGAAGCCAAAGAACTTATATGCACAACCCATGGACATGAACTAAGTTGTGGGGGAATGCAGGAGAGGGGTTCAGTATGGTGGGGGATAAAGGGGAGAAAAAAATGGGAGAACCATAGTAGCATAATCAATAAAATATGCTTAAAAATAGTCTTTTGAGTTTTTTTATTTGCTATTCTTTTGACATCTCTAAAAATCATACAATTTGGGTATTATGCCATTCTTTAATACAATGAAAGGAGAGATGCTGTGACTTACATTTTTCTGATAAGAAAATCGAATGTGCTAGAGGCAAGTTCAACTTTAAAAAGAGCCATTTAACAGCCTACGCTGTCCCAGTTGCCCCACTACTCGATGCTGCCACAAATGAGATGAGTAGGAAGCACAGACATACAGATTTATTGAATAATCCCTCAAGTTCTTTACAGCTTTTTGACTTTGTGATATTTCATTTATTTTTTAGGAAATTCAGTTACCTAACATGTTTTCTTCATATATTTTCAGGATAAAGAAGTACGTGCAGTTTTTCTTAGATTATTTGCACAACTTTTCCAAGGATATAGATCATGCCTACAACTTATAAGAATCCATGCAGAACCAGTAATACATTTTCATAAGGTAAGATACAGAACTATGTTGACTCTGTCCAAAATGTAGACTCTAAATAAAACAGCTTGATTGTTTTTTTTCTGGCCATGTGTTTTAACCTTAATATATCAAATGAGGGTATTCAAAATCTCTGTTTTGTATGGATAGATAATATTTAATAAAACTATGGAACTGACATGTTTTTCTTCAGAGTATGTTAACTTTAAATTGGTTTTTATTTTAAAATGGAGTGTTAATTTCTGATTTCTCCTGCTTTACAAAGAGATTCATTTTTATTCTTTCCAATACATGTGGTATTTCAGGTATCAGAAATTAAATCTCTCTTTTGGAGAGATGTACTTTATAGTAACACCTTTGTGCATGAAGACATTTGTTCAAGCTTTATCTTTCCATTATATTTTGTTGCAGCCATTCATTCATCACTGAGTGATAAATTACTCATGTCCCATTTTCTTTCTTACAGACAGCTTTCTTGGGGCAGCGAGGTCTGGTTGAGAATGATTTCCTCACTAAAGTTCTCAATGGAATGGCATTTGCAGGCTTTGTTTCAGAAAGAGGTCCTCCCTATAGATCCTGCGATCTCTTTGATGAGGTATTGTTTCTATCAAATGAATACATTATTTACAGTGAAACTGAGGCTAGTAGTTAAAAATAGTATTTTAAAGTTTTAATCAAAAACATAACTATATTTTAAATTAAATAGCAAATACTCCAAGTATTTACTATTATGCTTATCAGATTTTGGTATTTAATTAAGATGTGGTTTAGAAAAATTAGAAAAAGTATAATTGTAGGATATCAAAAACATGTAAAATCTTGAACAACTTAATTTTAAATAATTGATTAAAATCTTTGAGTGATTGTATAAACAGAAGATTTATTTTTGAAGGTAGTAACATGATTCCTTTATTGGTTTCATGGAGGAAAAGTCTACGTTTAATATATAGGTACGGAGTTTCAAACAGTTACCTATTGTCTATCAGTGTTCTAGAGCCACAGTTTAGCTTAGTAGCATTCTTCCTACTCCATAATGGCTTCCTTGGGAGATATTAAATATATAAAAGAGATTTAAATCTCAATTCTGAAGGAAATGGCCATATAAAGGGAAAGTTAAAACAGATGTGACTTAAAATAAGGGTGCTGTTTTGTGTTCATTGTGATTTTTCTTATTTTAATTCATCTTTCCATGTATCATTTAACTGTTTTCATGGCATCCCATTCTGGTATATGAACAGGGAATGTTATTCCCATTTCCGTTTTTGAAAGAGCACTGTGTTAGAATCGATAGGCTACGGCCATACCACCCCGAAGGAGCCCAATCTTGTCTGATCTCAGAAGCTAGGCAGGGTTGGGCCTGGTTAGTACCTTGGAAGGGAGAACCAATAAATACAAAAGTTCCTTGAAATCTATAAAAGAAAAATACTCCTAGCACCCAAGGTGTAGTGGAGAATAGTAATAGTGGTCATATTTTGGTGCTGCTGGTTTTATTTTATATAGAGAAGGTAGGAACCAAGGTCTTAAAGACCCTTGGTTCAGAGAAGAATCTTTAATTCTCTATTAAGGTAATGAAGCATTCAAAAGTGTCGTTGAAAGAAGCAGCACATGTTTTAATTCCGAGTATGGCAAACTGCACAAAATGCTTTAGTTAATAATACAACAGATCGCAGGAGGATTTAGGAGCAATTCCCTGAGGGTGAACAATTCATTTTCATCAGTTAGTGATCACTGATTCTTTGATGTCAACATTAAATATGGTTGATCATTGGTTATCTGATATTAACATATATCAGCCTTTAGATCCTAAGTAATCGAGACAGTGTTTGGAGGGATTAAATTAGATGCATTCAGAGTCTTTTCTAGCATTCATTTTATTAGTCTCTGAAACATCCTGAATAGTAGTAACATTGGTTTATATACCCCCTTTCATTTCTATCCAAATTCCTTTAGTCTATCCAAACTGGATAGTTTGGTCTATCTAAAACCCCTCTGGCAGTTGCATCCCAACTAATAAGTCATATTGGTTGCTTTCAGAAAGCTTGCTAGCTGTGGCCTCTGAGTATTTTTGTAAGTCCTTCCCTTGCCTGGTATGCCCTCCCTCTACCTTTCAGTGTGACCATAACCTTCCATTCTTCATACTCTGCTCTTATTTTACCACCCCCTCCAAAGTAGATTGGAGGTCTGCTAGTCTGCATTAAGCTTTATTTTGTGTCTCTTAACTTTGTATGACAATGTATCTTTTATTATGTATATTTATATACATAAGCTATGTGTATATATGTATATATATAAGAAAATATGAATATATATACATATATATATATTCTTTAGATTGGAAACAATAATAAGGCAAGGACTCTGTCCAAGATTCCTATTGGATCTCTTCATAGGGTTCATCTTTTTCTGTGTTCTGCCGTCAGTGACAATTTTTGGTGTCTTGTTGATGTTACTGAAAGCTAGTTAATGTGCATACTTCAGTCAGGGGCCTAGAAGGAATGAGACATCAGACCTAAGTCATTTCTTGTCTACCCTCTTTCGCCATTTAACTGGTTTGCATGAGAATGTGCTTGTGTAAGAAAATTATGGGTGCTTCTGGGAAAGGAACCCTTGTTTTCATTTAGCTTCCAGCAGCCTGCGTCATGACAGGATTATGGAGCTTTGAGAAGCAGCTTACCCCCACACTCCCATCACATCAGCCTGTTAGAAGAAAAGCAGTGTTTGCCTTTGTTAGACAGTCTTTCTGAATCCCGACCTAGACGAGGTGAAGTCATGGTTTTGTGTGTCTGTCTATTCCAGTGAATTTATTAGTTCCTAGAAGGGAAAATTGTAAACCCATTTTTAAAAATTCATCCGTCTACCCCTCCTCTCACAGTTTTTTTCCTGTCTGTATTCTTTTCTCCATTCCAAGTATACACACACAGTTCTCCCAGCAAATTAGTTAGTAGGAAAATAGATTCGAGTTTATATCATTTGAGAATAGGAAGGCCATCTTGTTCTTTCATCTTATTTTAGAGATGAAGAAACTGAAGCTCAGGACTTTTAGTGACTTGTTCCAAATTGTATTGTCATCAGAGCTAGAACTAGCATCTGAGTGACCTGACTTGAACATTTGGTTCATGTTTTGTGAGTTAGGGAAATGTTTGGAGACTTTCTGACCATCCAAAATTCTCTGAGTGAGAGAAATATTTACGTGAGGCCTCGAGAATGAAAGGGTCCCTCTGAGTTCCAGAAATACTTTTCCCAAGAAGAAATAAGGCCCTAAATCATCAGGGAGAAACCACAAGACTATCCAATGACTGGATAGACTCTGTAAATCTAGAATAGAGAGGAAGCCCAGTAAAAATATACAATAATTTTAGTAGTGCTGTATATTTTGGGTGCTTTTTGGCTTACTACTTGTATGAAATTATCACACATTTTTTCTATTTCACCATATTTTGAAGTTGATGTTTTGCCATTTGATTCTTTTTTTCAAGTTGGTAGCTTTTGAAGTAGAGCGAATTAAAGTTGAAGAAAATAACCCACTGAAGATGATAAAGCATGTTAGAGAACTTGCTGAGCAACTATTCAAAAATGTAAGTAAGTATATTTATTTAGACCGCCATTAATGTTAAAAGTATTAATAAAGTATTTTGTTTGAAAAAGTGAACAATTTTGTCTTTCTAGTGATAATATTTTGTTCTGACCTTTGGACTGTAAGTTCACAAGATACTATAGTTGGTGCTGTGCATCAAAACAGACCTTATTTTCTTAGATGATTTTTCTGTCAATTACTATATTATGAAAACTGCTTAGTCACAGTTTTCCATTTTGTCATTTGCCCTCATTGTGATTTTCATTAAGGTTTTTGTCTTCTTAAGAGTATACTGGGCATTTTAGGACATGAAGATTATACCCATTGGAGACCAGAACTGACTGACATGCTCTGCTTTCACTTACTACCATGAGGGTGATCTGGATCAGAAAAGTCATTTGAGTTGAATTGTTTTGAACAGAGAGTAAAAAGCTGAAAGATAGCAGTTGTCCAATGACCAATAACAAAAACTCAATGATGGAAATATTCCCCATATAAAAGAAATGCAGTAAGTGTAAACGATTTCATAGTTCACACTGGTGTAGTGTGAAATAATAATTTGAATACCAGGAAATGAGAGAACCTGCCATGACAGGGAGATTATGCACATGTGGAAAAATGGGTTTTGACTAATAGATTACAAGTTCTTTCTCCTGCTTGTAAAGTTTTTTCAGAGTTCAGTTCTTTTACTAAGGAAAGAAAAGTTAATGGAAAGTATGCTCTTCCAGGGGGAAGTTGGAAGATGGGGAAGATGTATTTTTCAGGAGATGCAGTTAAGGAGGATTTGGGGCCAGTATTCTGATACTGTTTAACTTGATTATTTGTATAGATGCACCTTTTTGGATGTTTAATCATTAGTTATATCTGTTCAAAATCTGAGAAGCAGTTGGATAAAAATAGCGGGAATGCTAAACTATATTCCTTTATTCAATTACTTATACATTTTATTTCTGAAGTTATTTTTAAATCCATCCCTTGGACTGATACCCTAAACTCCACATATAACTGTCAAAACACATAAATCTATTTCTTGATTAGTACACTGGAACTTAAGAAAAATTTGGTCAGAAGGAAAACTTGTGGGCTATGCTGGACTTGGCTGTTTATGATGGCTCTGTAGATCTAATATATGTCATGAACTCGTTAGATATTTCTCTTGACCTGTTGTAATAATAAATATTGAGTGTTTAAAAAAACTTGCCAGGCATGGGATTAAGCTCTTCACATTTATCATCTTTAATCCTCATATCAATAAGGTAGGATCGATGTCATTGTCCCCATTTTACTGGGGATTATTGGCTTAGGATCATATGGCTATTAAGTAATTGAATCCAGATTTTAAATTCAGGAATTTTTATCTATCCAGTTCCTAAGCCTATATTCTTTCACTCCATTAGGCTGGCTCATCTTCAGTTGGAAAAACAATGGTATTTTCAATTGCTGATTTTTTACTTGGAGTGATTTATTGATGGATTTCAAAAAATAAAACATCAGCTGGGAGTCAGTGTTTCATGCTCTGGGACTGATTCCTTTAATACTGAATGTTTATTTCTTAGACCTTTACCAGCCTACTCCCAAACTGCGAAATTTTGTAGCCAATAAGAGACCAGAGCTGGGTTTCTGGCGCAGGCGTGTTTCCTTTATGTGACTGAGTCCACAGTGTATGTTAGGGAGTATGCCAAGCCACTTTGATGCAAAAATGAAGTAAAATTTTTTCTTGCTATCCTAGAACTCTTAAGTATTATGATAGATAGCTAACACTAAGCCAACACAAAATGAAAACTGCAGTAAAATAAATATCTACTAATTATATATTCTTAAAGGGGAATGTACAGCACAACAGACCCAGTCCTTTAACACCTATTTAAAGATCATCATGAGGGATTACATTACTGGACAAGAGGTGGAAATCGCCCTTCAAATGAACTCTACATTTCTTGAGCCCTTGTTGGACTTTTTCCCTCCCACAATCCAATTCTATTTAATTTATTTTTATTCCATTTGTTTGGTATGTATTCATTGGTCACCTACCATTGCCAGCGTTTGCTAGATACCTGATACCCCTGATATCCTTGAGAGGACAATACATCGTGGGGAAGAATTTGAGAAAATCCCAACGGATTGTCCTCAGACTTTTTGAAATTCTGTCTAGTTTTAAGATTTTAGTCCTTGGTGGTCCCAACATTTCTTAAGTACATATGTTACAGAGTTAAAAAGCAGAGCACAATGGTACAGATACTTTCTTTGGTCATGCAGGAAGTGGAGGGAAGGAAGGAAGGATGGTCTCAATGCAAGGAAAATAATCCAGATGGTTCTATTTTTAACTAGTCAGGTTTTTTAAAAATCACATTTCTAAAATTCCCTTTGGTAAGCAAGAGCCAACCATATAATTTAACTACTGTGTCCTTATTATTGGGTTATAATTGAAAGCTAGTGAGTCTATTCAGGTGTTTGTAAATACTTTATTGTACTGAAGTCTGGTATGTGCATCCAGCCTCTTTCCCTTACTTCGTTTTGAAATACACTAACAGGAAACCTTAATTTTTCAGTTTCTTCTTGCTACTCCTTTATATTGCTTTTTAGTGAGTAGGGATGAATTGTAGGAATGTGAGTAGATAGGAATAGGATGAATTGAAACTGGGTTTAGCTGCTATTTTGACTTTCTGGAGCTTCCTAAATACTTAAGAAAAGTATTTGGTGGCTGGCGGAGGAGGGGAGTGGGAAAGTGGAGTGCAGGAGAAGAAAGGAATAAATCCATCAGGGACAGATTTTGTAAACATTGGTAAGGTTTATACCGTGATGATTATTGGCCATACATTGTTATAGCTTTTCTTTCCTTGCTCAATTGATAATTTCAGGACTGCCCACTTTGGCTTTCAGAGTCTTCACTGTCTGCATGACAGCACATTTGACTACTTACCTGCTCTATGCCTGTGATTTTTGATATGCACTCCTAAAGAACCACCAACTGCACACAAAATGAGAATATTATGATCAGCCAGGACAAGAACTTTATAAAACCTCCATTTCAGATCACCCAGAAATTAATCGGACATGTGTTTTACATAGTGCATTTTTGTCATTTGTTTTGCATCTGCAGTAGTACATAAGTATTAGCTGGATGGTATAAGTTGTCTGACAGTTTTCTTAAAAGTTAAAGGATAAATGAGAGCACTTGGACTTTCTTATAAAATCATATAAGATTTTTATTTGTAACTTACCAGTATTTCATTGCCCAACCTGGAAACAAACAGGTTTTAAAATCCTAACAAGAGAACAAATCCCAAATATTGGAATAGCCATTCTAAGTCACGTAAGATCTATACCCTTACATTTCTTCAGGAAGTTAATTTTACTGCTTGCAAATTTAGTCTGCACTGATGACCTTTGTACTCTTGGCTTTTTGTAAACAAAGAGATGTTGTTGTTATAAGAATGAAGTAAAACATTGTGATAATCTTTAGTCTTCAAAGAGGCAAAACATAACTTATTTAGATTATTATGAGAAAATGAGGCCCTAACCCAAAGCATAGAAATCAAACTCCTTGCCCTATCATGTCTGATTTATTTGTTCATTTTTAAGTCAGATTCACAGTGGTAAATTTTCATATAGTAAAATTGGCCCTTTTAAAATGTGCACTTCTCTGGGTTTTGACAAGTGAATGAAGTTATATGACCACAACCACCATCGTGAGAATGCAGAGCATCTTTTACTCCAAAAATTTCCTAACGTGCCCTGAGAGTCACGTTCTCCCAGCACCTCTGACTCCTAGCAACTCCTCTGTCTTCTGTCTCTTCAGTGTTTGCTTCTTCCCTGACATTATTATGTAGTTTTTTGAGTTTCATGTGTTGCAGTTAGCCAAATGCATTTCAGATTTACCCATGTCACTACTTTTATCTGTTGTTAATTCCTTTTTATTGTTGAGTAATAACCCATTGTATAGCTATACCAACTTTTATTGATCTGTTGGCCAACCGAAGGACAGTTTTGGCAATTATGAATAAAACCACATCTAAACATTTGCATATGTTTTTGTGTGAACATAAATTTTCATTTCTCTGGGGTAGGTATTTAGGATTAGAATGCTTATAACAAAATGTTAACTCTAAGAATTGCCAGAGTGCCTTCCCAGCTGTCTGTACCATTTTTCATTTGCACCAACAATATATAAGAGTTTCATTTGTTCCATATCTTAGCCACTGGTATCCTGAGTTTTTTGTTTTGTATTGTTTTGTTTTTAGCCATTCTTACAGGTGTGTGGTGGTATCTTATTATAGTTTTGATATGCCTGTCAATAGGTGAGTGAGAATATAGGTCTCTTAGCCAGTTAGGCACATAGGCTTCCTTGGTGCTTATAAAAGTAGAACTGGTCTTAGAATATGAAGCTTCCAGCTGGAATCATGAATTAGAGCAATGTTTCTCAACAGGGGCAATCTCTCCCCACCCCTGCTCCCCCAAATTTGGCAATATCTAGAGACATTTTTGGTTGTCACAGCTGGAGAGGATGTGCTACTAGCATCTGATAGGTAGAGGTCAGGGTTACTTCTAGACATCTTACAATATACACAACACACCCCCAAGAATTATTTAGCAAAACATCAATAGTGCCAAGCTTGAGAAACCCTGGATTAGGGCAACTAGCACACTAGATATTAAAGTCATATACTAAATTTTGTGTTAAAGATGAGACATTAACTCAATTGGGTGATCATCGAAAGGCCTAGGAAGATGTAAAATTGAGATTGTGTCACTTCATCAGTATTGTGTTCACAACCAGGCAACTCTGAAAAGTTTAGTGACATTTAGCCCCTGTTGGTGTGGCTCAGTGGATTGAGTGCCAGCCTGCAAGCCAAAGGGTCTCCATTTCTCCTGTTCAACTCCCAATCAGGGCCCCTGCCTGGGTTGCGGGCCAGGTTGCCAGTTAGGGATGCGCAAGAGGCAGCCACACATTGATGTTTCTCTCCCACTCTTTCTCTCTCTGTTCCCCTCTCCCTAGAAACA